GCTCGGAACGGCTCCTGCGGTCGGTGGAGTCGAAGGCGTCCTCCTGCTCGTCACCAGGTCCCTCTGAGCGACTCCCGGAGCCTGGCAGATAAGTCTCGCCGCTGCCCGACTCTGAGCCACTGGAGCTGCTGCTGCTGAGATCGCGGCTGCCAATGGGAGTAGCAGACAACCAACCTCCGTTGCCACTGGCTGGACTCCTGGCAGCTGATGCTGGAGCAAAGGAGAGAGCGGACGCGGGAGCTGACATGTGAACGGGAGCTGGAGCTGGAGCTGGAGCTGCAGGAACTGCGGGCGGAACTGGAGGTGCTGCGGGAGCTGCTGATGGAGGTGGGTTCCTGGGCGCAAGCTGGATGCGCACGGGTGCCGTCGTCGTCTTGCGGGGTGTAGTGCGGATCCGGACTCCTCTTGGCGCGGGAAGACCCTTTAACTGAGCATTCTCCCTCTTCAGGCGCGCTATCTCGTCCTTCAGAGCGACGATCCTCATGAGCTTCCCATCATTCAAGGCCTTGGTCGCCTTGTGCAGGTCCGAGTGCATCCTATCCAATCCCCTCATCACAGCACACATGTGACCAAAGGTGGTGTCGTTCTCGCCGGCTGTCGGACGGAAAGTACTGACATCACCACCGCTGGCTCGGCAAGGGTGAAATCGGTACGCCGTGTCGTGGAAGATGTAGTTGTGGCGCTCCCGTAGTCTGGCCATCATCAGGTATGCTGCCTCCTGACAAGCGTGATCTGCAGTGCCTCCGGATGCCTCAACCACCATATTATCTAGGCAGGTACCCACGTAGCCGTGGACCTCCAAGCGAACACGGTGAGGAAGCTCGCCACTGAGCGGTGGAACAGTCGTGTACTCTGGCGCGTTGGGGTAGCCCACCACCAGCGTCATGCGTGCCAACTCTGCCACAAAATCAATCATGCCTTCTCCGCGGTGGTTGGGTGGGTGGCCGGCCATCTAGAGAAGACAAAGGAGTAGGATCAATGCATGCTCAAATCCAAATTTAAATAAAGCAATAAAAGACTCAAATAAGCGAATCGAATAAGAGCGAAATTTTATGCATAGATCATTTTGCATGAGAGCGAATAAATAAGACAGACTCACATAACGATAAAATAATGGGGAAATTAGATACATACTAATAATAACAGTAAGAGCATAAATACCTTGCAACCCATGTTCCTGAGCTAGGACCTAATGCATTTCACCCATCAAATCCCACTGACTGATGAATAAATCTCAACAGTTTTACTAAAACCCTAGACTGACTTGTTTTGACAAATCTCGCTTAAACGAGCGACCAAGATTTTTCCCTTGAACCACAAGAACAGATCCCAATTTTCCCGGAACAAATCCAATTGCAAAGAACATATGCAATGAAAAGGATTCAGAGGGCTCTTAGGTTTTTCCATTTGGCTTGTCCTACGGTCAAGGTCGGCTCTGATACCAACTTGTCACGCCCAGAAATTCCCGAATAGAATTTCAAGCAGAATGTGCATTAAAATCCCCGTCCAGGACCAGCCGGGGTACACAAACGACAATGTTGACATTCAGATCCACGTCTTACAAACATCATAAAAGTCTTACATAAATGCAGCGGAAAGAAAGAAAGACAACAGGAGCTAAGCCTTGACTAGAACTGCAGCGGGAACACCACTCCACAGACATCCTCGACGGCACGGACGAAGCCTACTCCTCGGAGAAACCTTCATCTGACACATACTCGAACTCTGGGGGTTGGGAAAAGTAGAGCAAGACTGAGTACTACCCACTGTACTCAGCAAGTCATACCGGAATAGGGGTATGATGCACGGAATTATCAAAGAAGAGCTAGAGTGGTTCATTTGCATAAAGCGATCATTTATAGACAGAAGTTGAAAAATTTAAACAGTTGTAATAATTAATTAGTATTAACTATCCACTGTCCAACGCGATCCCACGTTGCAACAGGCCCAACCATCCACCTAAACTATCCAATTTCAAAAGATTACACTAGGGTGAGACTAATCACGGTGAATCTGGTTGACCGCCCATAACCGCGGGCACGGCTATTCGAATAGTTTTACTCTGATCAGAGGTGTACAACTGTACCCACAAGACACAGCCCCACGACACGTTTCCGTGCGCCGACATGCCACCACGACATACCGGAAAGAGGCCGTGACAGGACCATTCGCATAACCCCCTCTAACCAAGCACACCACACCTCAGGTTTCACCCCCACTCCTCGCGAGGCAGCGGGCAGTCCCCTCTCGTGACTAGGTGAATCCGGAAGCCGCATAGGCCGTCGCAGGGCCTATCCAAACTCCATCACGCCCACCCTTGCCTGGATGCGTCGGCTAGAGGAAAGCTACACTACAAGCCCAGCCGTTGCCCACGCTGGCTTGTGGTAAGTACGATAAGTTCTTCCAGGGCATCCCGCGAACCGGTCCTTAACTGCCATGGGTGCGACCAGCAAAACCATGCACCCACAGCCCACCATGTGATTTATTTTAATTAACCAACACCAAAGCGGTGGCACTAATCCAACAGAACCATTAGAACCAACAGTCTAAACATTAAAAAGATATTCCCCATTGTGAACTAGTTGAACTAAGCATGGCTAAGCAATCCCTAGTCCAATCTCTAGTCATGTTATAACCCCAAGCTGACAAAGGGACATGGTACAACAATAGCATGGCTATGACAATAGGTAAACAACCCATAGTAACATTATAAAACAATGCAATATTTGAAAGAAAACAATAGAGCATTTGCAATATAGGATCAACATGTTCAAGTGACAAGCATGACTTGCCTTGCTCTGCTGCTGGAGGAACCTCGGCGACTATTTCGAAGTACACCGGAGCGTCGGAGGAACCGGAATCTAGCGACATACAAGGCAAACATTGCAAACAGGCTATAAGACTACTGAAACAGGGAACAAAACCATTTTTAATGGATTCTACACATTTTTCTTGATTTACTGAGACTTGAATGGGCTTAAACGGAGCTCGAATGAATTAGTTATGAATTTTAGAAGATTCACTGTGTTTATTACTATAAAAGAAAAACCTTAAATCATTTATTGCGCAATAAATCCCAGGGCTGACGTCAGCACGGAGGGGGCGCGGCGCCGGCAAGCGGGCCCCACCGGTCAGCGGCTCAGGGGGAGCGGTTCACCGTGGACCGGGACCACGCGGGTGGTCCACCGCCGGTCCACGGGACCGACGGCCCATATCGCCCTCGGGCCGATCGGACGGGCGGCGATAGAGGCGGCCTGCCGGGCTCGGCTCGGCATCAAAGCCGACCGGCCGGCCAGGGCTAACGGCGGTGACACGCGCGCGTCGCTTGGCCGGCGACGGCATCCGGCGGCGGAGGCGACGGCGCAAAAGCGACGCGAAAGCGGCGGCAGCGGACGGCGGCAACGACCGAAGGCGACGACGAGCGCGGGCGGCAGCGACGCACGGGGAATTGGGGAAGTAAAGGAAAGGGGAGGGAGTCCTCACCGGAGGGGACGGCAGCGTCCGGCGACGGACCTCGACGAAGGAGGGGTGGACGGGGTGGATCTCGGCCACACGAACCCGACGGCGGCGACGGCGCGGTGCGGCGGCGAGCCTAGCGGCGACTAGCGGCGGCCGGAGTAGCGGAAACGGCGGTGGCGGGTGGTTGCACGGCGCGGGAGCGATGGGGACCACGAGGGAGTTCGGCGAAGTGGGGAAAAAGCGAGAGGGAGCAACGGGGAAGCTTAAGTAGGGGAGGGGAGGGCCGGACGTGGCCGGGAGAGGCGGGATTTCGCCGGCCAACGTGGGGAAGTGGGGGAGGAGAGAGAGGCGGGATTCGAAAATCGAATCCCGGCCATCTCGGGCACGGGCTCGAGCGGGAAGAGAGAGGGGAGGGGCGCGGGGAACGCGGCGCACGTGCGGGCGTGGTCGACGTGGCCCGCAAGAGGCGGAGACGTGGGCGCGGCGGCGGTTGCGGGCGCGGCGGCGCGGCGGGAGGTAGGGGAAGGACCCGATAGGTGGGCCCCACCCGTCGGCGACCCCGGGAGAGGAGGGCGGCGGGGCGGCCTGGCTGGGCCTCGGCCTGCGGCCGGCCCAGCAGGGAGGAGGGGGAAGGAAAGGAGAGAATGGGCCAGCGGCCCATTCGAAAAAAAGGAGGAAAAAGGGAGGAAAAAGAAAAAGAAAAAGGGAAAAGGATTTTCCCTGGAATTAAAATATTGCTTGCTCAATTTTAATTGGTTAAAATTATTTCTAGAGCTCTGAAAATTCCACTAAAAATCCTGTTAGTGAATTTCGACATGTAGAACTCAAGAAAAATTTCACATGCCAAATCCGATTATTATCTGCATTGATTTAAAAGGGTTTACTCTTGCTTTGCACCTGTATTTTCTTGGGGTCATTTATAAATTAAATTTTTGGCTTGGGAGGAGAACTTCGGGGTGTGACATCTATGTCTTTGCATGCTTAATGGTTAGTTTATCTTGATTCTCTATATAATTTTTCTTTATTTGTGTGATTCTTGATGTATTTTTTTCCTCAAAAATATTAAGAGATTTATAATGTAGATGGTAGTGCTAGCTATATATTTTTGCATCTATTTGTTTTGAGATGTTGATTTGAGAAAGCATGATGACTTAGGTTGTTTTCTTCCCCACCACACTAGCTCACGATTTGTGGTCTTCTTCTTGCTCATCCAAAAGAAGGGGGAGGTTTTGCCCAAAAATTTCAAAAGCATCTCTCGTTTTCTGCATGCATACTTTCCAAAGTACTAAACGGTGCATATTTTCCAGTCCGTTTTGCGTGTTAGGAACCCTCACTCCTGAACTCAACCTTATCCTTGAGTAACTTACATATTAGTATTAATTGAATAGATGTAGAGAATGTTAATTTTCAATTTGAGTAATGTCTAGGGTATTAAATCATCGAGCATTTGAGATATAAAAGCTTAGTTCTAATGATGCTTGATTGATCTACAGATTTAATTGATATATGAATGTTAGCGGTTAATTTTGGAATTTTCGTAGGGCCAATGGATGAAGGAGAGATGAATGTTGCGAAGCGCGGTACGTTGGAATATGCCAGGAGAGTAACCAACTTCGTGCTCGGGGCAACAATTTCTAGATCATTGAGCATGACAGAACACTTGCTTTGTCCATGCGCTGATTGCATAAATGAGAGAGTTTCCTACAAATCAAGTTCACGAGCATCTCCTAACAAGGGGTTTTATGCGTAATTACGCATGTCAGGACAATCATGGTGAAGATGAGAATGACAATGTGCATAATCATGGTGATGGAATGTACGGAGAAAATGCGGAGTTGCCTGTCGACAAAGGTGGATATGACAGTGAAGAATCAGATGGTTTGGATTAGATGTTGTGTGATGGAGAGACAGCCTACAGTGATGAAAGGCAATATGAGATGTTCAAGTCCATGGTGCAGGACTCAAAAACTCCGCTTTATCCAGGATGCAAAGAGGAGCACTCCAAGTTACATGTCGTCTTCTCGCTGCTGCAGTTGAAATCAACCAACGGATGGAGTGACAAGAGCTTCACAGAGCTTCTGCAGTTGATCGGAGACCTCCTTCCAGCGGGTCATGTATTGCCAGAAACAACATACAGAGCGAAGAAGGTTGTCTGCCCGCTCGGACTGGAAGTGCAAAAATTCATTCATGTCGAAATGATTGTGTCTTATATCGAGATGACTATGCAGACTTGGATGTGTGTCCAGTTTGTAAAACACCGCGGTATAAGGGTGGAGATAACGATGATGATGCTAATGATGACAGTGGTGGCCCCGACCTAAAGAAAAGGAAAGTGCCCGTTAAGGTTGCAATAATCCCTCGGATTGAACGCATGTTTGCAAATAAGAAGCATGCAAAGATGATGCGTTGGCACCACGAAGAGCGTAACAAGGATGGGATGATAAGACACCCTGCCGACGGATCTCAATGGAGAAAGATAGATAGAAAATACAAAAAGCATTTTGCGCAGGAGACTAGGAATATAAGGTTTGGGCTGAGCACAGATGGGATGAACCCGTTCGGTGACTTGAGCAGTCGGCATAGCATGTGGCCAGTGGCACTTGTTATCTACAACCTTCCTTCATGGTTGTGCATGAAGCGCAAGTATATAATGATGCCATTTCTAATCCAAGGGCCTAGGCAACCTGGCAACGATATTGATGTCTACTTCAGGCCATTAGTGGATGATCTTAAGTTTCTATGGAACCGGAGTGCGCAGATGTGGGATGCGTACAAAAGAGAGTACTTCACCTTCAGGGCAATGCTGTTTGTTACCATCCAAGATTACCCATGTGCTGGCAACACATCCGGGCAAACAGTGAAAGGTGGTTGTGCATGTCTGCAATGTATGCTGGAAACAGCGAGTAGGTGGCTAAGGTACTCCAAAAAGACCGTGTACATGCGGCATCGGAGGTTTCTTCCAGCCGGCCACCACTATTGTAGCAATACAAGAGATTTCGATGGCACTGTGGAGGAGGGTACAGCTCCAACACAACGTGAGGGCAGAGACATTTTCAATGAGGTGAAAGATATTGAATGTATATTTGGTAAGGGGCCTAGCAGTACAAGCGCAACGAGTAAGGGTGGTGAGAAACCTTTTCGGAAGAAGAAATCTATCTTTTGGGGACTACCATATTGGAAAGATTTGGATGTCCGCCATACAATCGACGTGATGCACGTTGAGAAGAATATGTGCGAGACTTTGATGGGAATCCTGCTAAACATACCTGGCAAGACAAAGGATACGTTGAACGCACGAAGAGACCTCGTAGACATGAACATCAGGCCCGAGCTCCATCCTCAAGAACGTCACAATGGCCGCCAGTACCTACCTCCTGCATGCTACACCCTTAGTGCTGCAGAGAAAATAAGCCTGTTGGAATGCCTGCAGAGTGTCTGAGTCCGCTCTGGTTACTCTGCGAACATTAAAAGACTTGTCAATATGAAAGAGAAGAAAATAGTTGGCATGAAGTCACATGATTGCCACGTGTTGATGACACAATTGCTTCTTGTTGCGATTAGAGGCATCCTACTAGATAAGGTTCGAGACCCAATCATAAAGTTGTGCTCATTCTTCAATGTTGTATATCAGAAGGTAATCTATCCTAGCACGCTAGACAAGCTCCAAGAAGGAGCAATTCTTACCCTTTGCCAACTCGAGATGTATTTTTGTAACATCTTGAAAATTAACAATTTTCTAATCTTGCATCATGCTGATTCTTATGTTCTTATTAACCTTTTAAACCTAGGAAAATATAATTAGAGAGACCTCCAAAGATTAATTTGCGTAGAATCTCTCTTTGCTATTTAAAATCTTTCGTGGTTTTTATTCTAAAATTTATCTTATTAAACCAAGGTATTTTCTTTGATTTGATTTTGCACCTTAAACCTTCTTTTACAAAATTCCTTTATTTTAATTTAATTAAAAACCCTTTTATGAATTATGGTCCAAGAAACCTTCCCATATTACCCTTGAACCTAAACCACCGAAATTCCGATTCCATTGGAATTAATTGTTAACTCATCCTTTGATCTTAAACCTATCCTTTGATTCCAAACCTATCCGTAACCCTTCCTTGTGATCTAGCCGCAAATTTAATTTCTATGGCTTGATCCCCTTCTCGGCACAAAAATAATATTATTACAAATATTATGAATAATTGCTCTTGTGCTAAGAAAATAGATTATATCCTTGTCATCTAAATTTTCTTTTAGCCTCAAACAATTCCTTGAAAACCCATGTCATATATTTTAGGGCTCAAATCTCTTTTTTTGTCTCCACCTATTTTCCTACCACATTCCCAAAAATATCTTGAAGAATTATATTAATTCCCTCCCATTTGAGTGCTTTAATATTTAGACCACATTATTGCACTCAAATATTTAAGAAATATCTCTTTTAGAAATTATATCCAAATATAATTTCCTTTCAAAATTCCCTATCCCATTCAAATCCTATTCAATTCCATTATCTAAATCCCCTTCAAAATTAGAAAAGCATTTATCTGAGTTTGGGCCGAAACCCTCTTTTCTTCCTCTCACTCCCACGGCCCAAGCCGGCCCAGCAAGCCACTGCCAAGCCGGCTCCTCCCTCCTGTGGGCGTGCGCGGCATGCGCACACGCCACCGCCGCCATCGCCGTGATTTGCGCCGCCGCCGCCCACAGTCTACACCATCGACTTGCTGGCCACGGAAAGTCGACGTCGTGCCGTGTTCCTCCTTCCCCGCCGCCCAACTCCCTGGCAGCCGACGCGTGTGCACGCCGCCATTGCCGACCAATGAGAGAAGAAAGCCGGCGCCGTCGATCCTCTGTCCACGCCGTCGTTGCCGTATTCCCCTCATCATCTTTCTCCAAAACGACCTTTGTAACCGACGTTCGACACCTATAAATAGAGGGTAAGACTTGCCATCCCTCACCAAGCCGAGCTCTTCAAGCTCTTCCTCTCTCTCTATCTATGTCGAACCGTCACCGGTCGTCGGCCGATCTCCCTCACTAGAGCTTCTCTAACCAAATCCTTGCGCCATAGGACTTGCCTCGGTGAGTTGAATCCATTTTTCCCCTTTTCCCTCTTTCTCCACCTCTAAATTAAACCTCACCGGAGCTCTCTCTCTCTCTCTCCTCCCGGTTCACGGCCTTGCACTCGCCGTTCCGGCCATATCCCTCACTCCCTCGACCTACCACCGCCGTATATAGGTGCGCCACATCCGGGAACACCTCTCGCTGCCGGCGTCGCTGTCCCCCGTACACTGGAGCGCCGCCGCCTCAACCGCCTCCTCCTCTCCCTTCTATCGGCTGGAGGAAGAAGACGGAAAGAAGGAAAGAGAAAGAGAAAAGAAGAAGAGAAAAAGAAAAAGAAAGAGATTCCTGACAGGTGGGCCCCCGCGTAGTAACTTTTTATAATTTCTCCATTTAATTCAAAATCCAATTTTTAGAAGCCCATATCTCCTAAACCGTAAATCCGATTCCAGTGAAACTTGGACCTAAATTCATCTAAATTCAAAATCTACATTTTGATACCAAATTTTCTATTTTAAGATTTTATTTGAATTTCCTTAATTTATTCAAATACCATTTGAATAAATATTTAATTTAATCTTATATTTGAATTTCCTATTTAAACTTATATTTACCTTTCAAATATTTCTTTTTATTCTCGAAATACCCCTTAGTCACTAAATGTTGTCGAAACGATAACTGCATACGTCGAAAGACGTGGTTACTCAACTGTGTTGGAAAGCAGTAAATTATAACTCTAAGAATTTTTTCCCGGCCCCCTTTACATGGCCCTAGGGGTCTATTTATAACACTATTACAGGCTCCCCTATTAGGGTTTAGGTTTTTACAGGGGAATTTACATGGTTGCCCTTATAAAAGGGACATTTACATGGGTACACAGTGTCATTTGCATGCACGGGCTCCTGATGGGCCAACAGATTGGGCCCGGCCTATGCCGAATGGGCCCGTCAGGCCGGAGCAGCCCATGAGGTCGCTTGCATGCCGAACCCGTCCTGACGAAGGCCTTGCGCCTTCGCCATGCACCCTTCGCCGTATGCCATTCGCCCAAGATGCTTTTGCTTCGCATGGACCCGACGCGGCTTGTTAGCCTGCAGCATCTTCGCCCATAGCCTTCGCCATAGGGCTTCGCCCCATTGGCTCTGATGTCTTTGGCTTGGATCCTCGCTGGTCCTTGGGTTTCGGCAGGTCCAGCCGAAGGGCCTCATGGCATACCGCCAACAAGCCCCTCACGGGCGAGGGTGAGTAAGGAGCTTCGGTCGAGACCGTGCAAACTATGTGGTATGGTATGAGGCGCCCCCTTTCGGCCGACGTTCCTACCGAAACCTCTTCTCCGAGCCCTTCAGGAAGAAGGTGGACACTTGGTGTTTTCATGGTTTTGTTAGTAAACTTTGGCATTCGCCCTTTCAGAAAGGGCGAAACTGCACTGCTTTGATTTTTGGCCCGAAGTGCGACAGTAAGGGGCCCTTTGTGGGCCGGTATGTCCCTCTTGGATTTCGGTCTGTACAGTGCGGCCTAGGCCGATGGGAATTTACCGTTTCGTCTGTCCCTGGACACATGTCGCGTCCTGATTGGGCGGAAGTCGAAACATCGTGGGACGGGGTTATATAACCTCGTCTCGGGTTACCGCTTTTCTCCCCTCACCTTTTACTTTCACCGCTGCTACGCGCTCGCACCCTTAGGGTTCGACACCTTCGCTTTTGTGCGCTCTTGAGCCTTTCGACCACTCCCTTCCTTTCGCCACGGACTCGATGGCTCCTCGCAAGCCTACAAAGGCTGGATCGACTGGCGAAGACCCTAGCAGCCTTGGCGAAGGGTGGTCGTGCTTCCTTGGCAAATCACTTGTCAAGGAGGCCGCCTTGGGCGAGCTTGTCCTTTCTGGCGTTCTCGTGGAGGGCCAGGCGACCTGCGGGGGCGAAGCCATCGTCCCTTCGCCCGGTGACAACCAGACTGTTGTCTTCGCCGCCTTCTTCGCTACCGGACTTCGCCTCCCTTGCAATGACTTTCTGCTGTCCGTGTTGAAAATGTATGAGGTCAAGCTTTACCAGCTCAACCCATCAGCGTTCCCGAAGTTAGCTGTTTTTGCATGGATGTGCCAAACGTGTGGGTTCGATCCCACTGCCGAGCTTTTCGCCGTTCTGTTTATGGCATGCGCGACGACGAAGGACGTGAGCACATCGGCCGGTCCAAAGAGGACGATGTTTGGGTGCGTGAATTTCATACTCCGCCCTGAGCGCTCGGACGCCTAGCCGGTGCCTGCCTCGATGGCGAAATGGGAGCGAAATTGGATGCAAAAGTGGCTTTACATCAATAACCCATATTCCGCCGAAGATAGCAGGGCGAACTGGCTTAGGTTCGAACGCGCTGCTGTTTCGATCGCTGCTAAGCCGAACGTGTAGGTCGACGGTGTTCTTGAGTCTTGGCTTATCCTCCTTCGCAAGGTCGCGCGGCGGCTAAGTACCCGTGACCTCTGCGAGGAGTTTTGCCTGCTTCGGATTTCTCCCCTTGCTCGCGAATCGGGGGTGTTGGTTAGTAAGGACGAAAAGGTGCTCGGACTTCCCCGCCTCGCTTTTCCTCCGGGAGTCCACCGTAAGTTCCTTGTGTTTATCAGCGTCCTTTGTATGTATGTGGACATCTTTCGACTCATTCCGCTTTTTTTTTAGTTCGCACACATGGAGACGCTGAAACCGAGGCGTCGAAGATGGTTGGGGGCCTTACTTCAGCCGAGTTTGCCCGCCTGCTTTCGCGTCAGCTTGACGGCTGGGCGAACCGAGTTCACTTTGGCGAACTACCCGGTCGATTGATCCCCACCAAAGCTATTGACGACGTCGGAACGTCGAGAAAGCGTAAACGGGCGGTCGCGAAGGGCGGGCAAGTGCGATCTCGTCGCGCCACGAAGGACACAGCTGAAAGTGGTGAAGAGGAGGAGGAAGACGACGGGGAGGCCGAGTCTGAGGACGATGGCTCCCGTGGCTATACCCCTAGTCCGCCCCCGGTGAAATCTGGGGCGGGCTCTCGCGTTTCACCCGTTCACCCGCAAGACGTTGCTATGACGAACACTCTTCTGGCGATCTCTAGCACTGCGGCGAAGCCGGTATCAGTCGCTAGAGGGAAGAAGAAGGGGAAGGTCGTCTAGATTGGTCGTGCCTTTTCGGACAGCGAGGGGTCCGACGGGACACCGACTTCGCCAGTTCTCCAGCGCGGTCCTCGTGGGGGGTGCGCATCTCCTCCGCCTTCTAGCAACGCCGAAGCGGCGACAGGTGGGAGTGCTTCGGCGCCAGCAATCGGGGCGAACAACCCTCACAACGAACGGGTTGAGGTGGTTCCTTCGCCAGCTCGCCGGCGGGAAGGAAAAGCTCCGACGGTCGAAGCGATTGTGTCAGACGTGACACTTACTGCCCCGCACTTCGTTCCCGCCGATTTCGCCACTCGGCCAGAGATCACCCCTTTTGTGGATGGGGTGTGCCAAGTTATCGCGCCCACGGAAGGCCTTGGTCTCTTCACCGAGATGAACGAGTTCGGCGAGAGCTATGCCGCCGTGGTGAGCTTGTTTGTTCGGGTATGCTTTTTTTTTTCTTTGCGCGAAATTTTCCCTTTTCTCTTATATCATGGCATAATTGTTCCGGACTCCCCTTTCCAGGGCCTTGCCGCGCATCTGAGTGCGAAGAAGTCTGCCCTGGAAAGGCTGGATGGTTACCGGCTTCGGTTGCGGAAGGCCAAGGACGACCTTCGCCACAAGGAGGACGAAAGGCGCGTCGTGGCGGACACCTTGTGGAGGGCGAATGCGGAGAACAGGTCCCTCCGTGCCGATCTGGAAGTGTCGAACAGGCGGGGCACCTAGCATGATCGCCAGCTTGCTGCGGCCGAAGAGAGGATCAAGTCTCTTGAGACCCGCCTCGTTTCGTCCGAAGCCGCTGCTTCGACTTTAGGGCTGGCGACAGAATCCGCCAAGGAGGCCTGTTACACGCTCAGGCTGGCCCTGAATGACCTTGGTGCTCGCGCGGAGGACACCCTGGGAGATGATGGGACGGCTTTCGACTTTTCCGAGTGGACGCAAGAGTCGGCCGGCTCAGTTGTCGAAGTGGCCGGCGCTTATGGGGATTGTTGTGCTCGTGTTTCGGCGGGCTTCGTCCTTAGCCTGCTACATACGCACGGTTGCGAGCATATCAGGGATTTTCCCCGCTATGTGACGGAAGAATGGCCTTTGAACTCGCAATGCTCTGGGGCGGCCTTAAAGGCGTTCCGAAAGGGTTTCTGGGAGGACGGTGGCCGGGATTGCGCGAAGACCAGCCTTCGCGAGAATCTTGAGAGGATCGCGAAGGAGGAGGAAGCTGCTGCCGTCCATGCCGGAGGAGACCCTGGGTCCACGGAGCTAGCAGGCGAAGACAATAGAGGCCAAGACCACCCTAAGGTGTGAGGCCCTTCGCCCTCATATGATTTATTTAATTTTTTTTTTGCGTTAGTAGCCCTGCTATATATAGGCTCTTTGAATGTTCGGCTCTCAGCCGCTTTCGCCTTGTAATTGTTATGACTTCTTGTTAATGGAAAAAGAAATCGTCGTTTCGCCAGCCTTATTATCGTGTTGGACAGTGGTATTGATTTCGCCTGGATTTTTCCTTTTGTACTTGTTCTTTGGTGCTTTATTAGCAGGTTTATGGCCGGAAATCATGCATTCGCCCCCCCCCCCCACTACTGGTTGGCGAAAAGAGAACGAGAAATTCGTGGCGGCGAAAGGTTTGCCGAAGGTTAAGCGTCCTCTTCGGCCTATTTACTGCGAGATGTTAATAAACGGCAACAGCTACCGAGTCATAAAGGTTGCCAAGTGGATGCGCGCACATCCGGGTCGGACCATAGAAGATTATGATCGCCATCGTGTTTCGTGCCTCGAGAACAGTACAAACTTTTGGCGAAACTTTAAGAGGTCGATTCGCCAAGAGGCGATCGCTTGCCGCCGTTATGGCGTAATTTGTGTTTCGCCCCCTCTCCCCTTAGGGTAGTATACGACATTACTAATGATGGCGAACCGTGTTCACCAAGTCGTTCCTTAGGGAGTGGGGATTACTTCGGGGGCGAAGATGTAATTTATTTGTGAGTTGGACTGTGAAGCCTTTGCTTTCTATGCTTGTAGCATGTTGTATGGCTGTAACCTTTGATTATTTTTCCGAAATAAATAAAGATGTGTTTTATTTCCTTTTCGTTGTTTTCGCATTGTCACCTTTCGTGCATTCGTTAGGTCGAAACATGTCGGCCCCTTTGCGTATAATAGCGAAATAGGTATGTTGACTTTTCAGTTTTCGACTTCCGTTTTCGATACGTGGTATTCCGCACTGAAAGAAGCGCTTGTGTTCACATTGATCGAGTACAACAGTGTTCGGTTAGTTATTTCCGAAATAAGCTGTCGCGGTTTCAACGTTCAGTGAGCAATGCTTCGGCCGATTCGTTTCGCCCCCCTGGCTTTTTCACTGATCAGGCGTTTGTCTTGGGGTTTTTCCACGAATTATCATTTACACAGGTAAAGAGGCGAAAAACACAGATTTTATACTGGTTCGGGCCTCCAATGTGGATAATAACCCTACATCCAGTTTTTTTTTCTTTTTCCATTTTCCTCTTTTATTTTTTGCATTTTTGTGCCGAAGGGCTTACATATCAATATGTACATTTTTACAAGTTGGCGATTTGGGTGCCACCCGTTCTAGACATAGAAACGCCTAAGGGAAGCAGTGTTCCAGGAATGGTCGAACTCTTCGCCTTTCAGTGTCGCTAGGCGAAAGGAGCCTGTTCTGGACCTGTGCTTGATGAGGTATGGCCCTTCCCACTTCGATTCAAGCTTCCCGACCTCCATTGGGTTCACCTTCTTCCTTAGGACGAGATGGCCAGGCAACAGCTCTGTCGGTCGAATCTTTTTGTTATAAGTTGCTGAAGTGCTTGTGGCGTATTTGTGCATGTGTTCCAGTGCTTCGACTCTTACCCCTTCAAGGAGTTCGAGTGACACATCGCGCCCGTCTTCGCCTCCCGAGAACATCACCCTTGGTGAATTAGCCCCTAGCTCAGTTGGGGTCATTGCTTCATCGCCGTAGAGGAGCATGAACAGGCTGAACTTGGTTGGCCTTGTGGGGGTCGTTCGAAGGGCCCAAAGAACAGATAACATTTCGTCTGGCCATTTGCCCTTCGCTGCCCCCTCAAGCCTTTTCTTGAGCCATTTGTTCGTTCGGCTGCCCCATTTGACTATGGGTGCGCGACCGAAGCGAACCTGATTTTCAAGTTTAGCCCTTCGCACGTTTCTCTGAACTTGTCAGAGTCAAATTGCTTGCCATTGTTAGTGATGAACTCCTTTGGCACTCTGAAACGGCAAACAATGTTTTTCCACGCGAACTTCTGTACGGTTGCCGAAGTGATCGCACCAAGTGGTTCGGCCTCGATCTAGCGGGAGAAGTATTCGATGGCTACAATTGCAAACTTGTACCTATTTCGCGCCACAGGGAATGGGCCAATGATGCCTAGCCCCCATCTGGCGAAAGGCCAGATTGGTGCGATAGGCTGCAGTTCGTGCTGAGGTGCAGTTTGGCTTCGGCCGTGCCGCTGACAGCTTTCACACCTCTTGGCTTGCTCGACACAAACTTTTAGCACAGTTGGCCAATACACCCCCTGGCGAAACACTTTGGAAGCAACCGTCCTTGTGGCCTGATGTGCACCGCACAGCCCCTGGTGTATCTCTTTCGTCATTTCCTTTCCTTCGGTGAAAGAAATGCAGCGAAGTAAGGGTTGGAGCACCCCGGAACGATACAGCTGGCCGGAGACTAGCTTGTATTTTACGGCTCTGAGCTGTAAGCGCTTCGCTTCTGCTTCGTCTTCCGGGAGCCAGCCATTCTTGAGGTACTTGACGAACGGTGTTCGCCAGTCCTCTGGGTCTTTACCCAGTTCTGCCTGGTCAATTGCCATGACGTCCAGTCTTTCTGTGGGCACACTTGGTGCGTACAAGACTTCAAAAAAGATGCCTGGCGAATGCGGGCCTCCACAGGCGGCAGATTTCGCCAGGGTATCTGCTTCCTCATTCTGGCCTCTAGGTAAGTGTTCGACCGTTACGCCAGCAAAGCACTTTTCCAAAGACCGAACGGCCTCCAGATATCTCTTCATTCCTTCTTCTTTCACCTCAAAGGATTTGTCAACATGACTAGCCACCAGTTTGGTGTCTGTTCGGATAAGCAAACGCCGAACCCCCAGTGCTTTCACCTTTCTTAGGCCCAATAGTACAGCTTCGTATTCGGCCGTGTTGTTGGTCGTATCGAACTGCAGTCTTGCAGCATACCGAATGGGCACGCCCCCTGGCGAAGTGAGTACTACCGCGACACCCACCCCCTTGTGCGACCACGAGCCGTCGGAGTGCATTACCCAAGGCTGTTCGACAGGCTCGGGGTCGGGGGCGGACGTCGGTGTTTATTCGGCCACGAAGTCAGCTAGGACTTGGGACTTGATGGCAGTACGGGCGACAAAACGCAGGTCGAAGGGTGATAACTCCGCCGCCCACTTGCTGAGTCGGCCCGTGATTTCCTTGCCCCGCAGCACTTCGCCCAAAGGATACTGCGATGGCACAGTGACTTTGTGAGCCTGAAAGTCATGCTTAAGCTTGCGTGAAGCCATCACTAGGGCGTAAACGAGCTTTTCCATTTCGATGTATCTTGTCTTCGCCCCTTGCAAAGCTTCAGAGACGAAGTATACTAGTTTCTGACCTGACTCTGTCTCTTGGACAAGAGCCGCATTGACCGCCACCTGCGAAACTGCTAAATAGAGCAGCAGTTCGCTTCCTGGTGTTGGGCTGACCAAGGCGGGTGGCCTTTGCAGATATTGCTTTAGCTCGTCGAATGCTACTTGGCATTCGGGTGTCCAGCTAAACTTTCCCGCACCCCGGAGGGTTTTGAAGAAGGGCAAACCTCTTTCGGCTGCTTTTGAGAGAAATCAACTGAGCGCCGCAATTCGGCCAGCGAGCTTTTGTACTTCGCGTACGCTTGACGGGGGCTTCATTTGCCGAATGGCATCGATTTTCTCAGGGTTCGCCTCGATGCCCCTTTCAAAAACAAGAAAACCCAACAACTTGCCCGCGCGAACACCGAAAACACACTTCTCAGGATTCAGTTTCATGCTAGCCGCACGCAAGTTGTCGAAGGTCTCTTGTAAGTCGGACGCATGGTCGAAAGCCTTGCGGCTTTTTACTACAATGTCATCGACATAGGCCTCCACATTTCGCCCCCAATTGCTTGTAAAGGACCTTGTACACCAGCCTGGCGAATGTTGCTCCAGCATTCCTTAGGCCGAAAGGCATCCTGAGGTGGCAGAAAGTGCTGAACGGTGTGATGAAAGCTGTCTTGGGGATGTCGGCCGGATTCATGTGGATCTGGTGATAGCCGGAATATGCATCAGAAAAGCTCATGAGCTCGCAGCTGGCTGTCGAATCAACAAGCTGGTCGATCCGCGGCAGGGGAAAGTCGTCTTTCGGGCACACTTTATTGAGGTCTGTGAAATCGAAGCACATGCGCCACTTGCCGTTCGACTTTCTCACCAAAACAGGGTTCGCCAACCACTCGGGGTGGTCAATCTCTTGGATCACCCCCGCTTTGAGTAGCTTCTGCAATTCGGCCTTTGCTGCCTCTTACCGATCGGCGGACATCTTTCACAGCTTCTGTTTCCTTGGCTTGGCATTCGGCTTGACCACCAGATGGTGCGTGATGAGGTCTGTCGAAACACCTCCCAAATCGTCGGGGTTCCAGGCGAAGATGTCAATGTTCTTCTTGAACACCTCCAGGATGTTTTCAACTTCCTCTTCGCCTAGATCGCCCCCCAACAGGACGAGCTTTGCGGGATCGGCATCGTCGACTTGCATCTTAATCACCTTGCCATGAGGTACAGGCTTCAGCATGCGTTTAGCGTGGTCATGTGGTTCGGCCTCTACATTGTGTACTGCCATGCTGATTGCGGCCATGTCGCCCTTCGATGTGGTCGAGGGTTGTAGCCCCTTGGCGACGATCACACCTGTTGGGCCCAGCATCTTGAGCTTGAGATAGTTGTGATGGGAGATGGCTTCAAACTTGTTCAAGGTTGCACGGCCGAAGATGGCATTGTAGTTGTATGGGATGTCAACGACATCGAACAGTATTTGCTCTTCGCGCCTGTTTTCACCTGTGCCGAAGGCTACCACCAGTTGTACTTGGCCCAAGACTTGAACTGCTTCGCCGCCGAAACCTCGAAGCGAGGCTGGCGCCTGGGTGAGGGCTAGTGTTGACAACCCCATCTTGGCATATGCCTCGGCAAAGATGACATCGGCTGAACTTCCCCCGTCCACCAGGATTCGCCGGACTTCGAAGCCAGCTACCTCGGCCGAAATCACCAAGGGGTCTTGATGTGGGAATAGCACCCCTTCGGCGTCCTCTGGCCCGAAAGAAGAGGATGGGCGAAACACCTATGGGGACAAGAGACACCGTGGAAGGAAAGAACGGAGGAAGAGAGCACACGCGGTAAAAGTGGCAAGTGTGGCGGTGAAAAGGAAAGAGGGGTGGGGATATATACCCCACCCGGGCGACGTTTCGCCTACCCACCACTAATAAAGCGCCACGTGGCGCAAGGGTAGGCGAAACGGTAAATCCCCATCATCCGAGCAGCACAGTAAAAGCCCCATCAAAGGAAAGCCCAATACTGTTCCCTTCGGCCCGGTAAAGGTAAGAATATTTTATTTGCAGGAACAATGTAGGTTTCGGCAGGAGCATCGGTCGAAAGGGGGCGCCACATACCATACCACATGGTTTGCACGGTCTCGGCCGAAGCTTCATTCTCACCCTTGCCCGTGAGGGGCTTGTTGGCGGATGGCATGAGGCCCTTCGACCAAATCTGCCGAAACCCGTGGCGAAGGTTATGAACCAAGAATGGTGTGAGGCGAAGCGTCGCGTGAGTAAGCCGGAGGCGCCTCAGGCGAAGAGTACCTGCCGAAGAGAGACGACTTCGCCGTGTCTAGTTCGCTCCCGCAAGGGCCGAAGAAGCCTTTCCGGCCCATCAAGCCTAGGGGCTATAGGGCCGGCGATCGCCCGACGGCCCATCAGGGGCCCATAAGCCCCCTTGACATTGTGTATCCTTGTAAATGTCCCTTTCATAAGGGCAACCATGTAAATTCCTCTGTATAACCTAAACCCTAGTAGTAAGAATCTGTAATG